TGGGGATTCAAACCCGCCACCTTAGGTGTATGTGGCTGGCGCCTTAGCCGCTTGAGCCACAGGCGCTGAGCCTAAGATCTTTTATTTTCCTAGGCTAGTTATTCTGCCTGAAAACAGAAAGAAAAAGCATTTCTATGGTCCGATGAATTTCTATAGAGCAGGGAATTTAGTTTTCCAACATGGTTTGACCAGGATAGGACGTAGGCCACGGATGCCTGGACAGCTGTTTACACCTTAGTAGACCTGGGATGGTGGGACCATCCAGGGTGAACAGGTATAGTGAAAGGTAAAGACTGCTTCTTCCCTGCTTCCCTTACACCCTGGCTCCGATAATTCACTCTCATTAAGTCAGTTTAATCACTTCCCAATTAGTAAATAAAGAGGACACTAGATTTTCTCTCTATTCATTCACCCAGGAAGTCATACAGAGGTAGTTATAAATGCACTTGCTAAATCCAGCCCCTTTCCAGAACTAAACAAACACCAGGGAGCAGCAAGCTGGCCCCTTCAGCCTTCCCGGTATCAGCAGGTGTAGTGATATATTGTGTAATACTGACTGCACACTCATTTCCAACAGAGAAAAGAAACCAAATAATGAAAGGAGGTGGAGTTATGTAGAGAAAATACCTTGATATCTTTTATCATTAAAGGAAAAAGCAAATCCTTCTATTACTTTTTAGCAATGGAGTCACAGAATTAGACTGTAGAGTTGGTCCAAACTCTAATTTTATGTTTGTAGGAAGGCACCAGGACTGGAAAAACAACAACAACAACAAAAACCTCTTTATAGCCTTTTCCTTTTCTTTTACAGACTCATTTGTGAATCATGAAACTGCTGCAGACAAAAAAAGATGCTCAAACCACAAATTCTACCTCTCATCTCTCATTATCCCAATTCCCTAACACCGCCAGACTTGAAACAAGTTACCTCTCAGACATCTCTTTCCCCTCAAGCTTCTTACCCTCTTCAAATCATTTGCCAGAGGCTGCCCACATTCATGGATTTCTTATCCTTCCCCAAATCCCACCCTAATCCAAGCCCTCAACTTCCCCCACCAACCTCCACTGGGACCTGTCTCCCTGCTCTAGGATCTCACACCCAGTGTGATATGCAAACCTCCTATAACAAGCTCTCTGACCACTGATTAAAGACTTTGGTGTGAAGTAAAGGCTTCCAAGCCTTGCACACTCTGCACTCATGGCCTCTGTGGGGCAGGAATCTAAGATGGCCCCAGTTGGGTACATTCATCTTCTCCTAGTCACTCAAACACTAACATTGGCACTGCTGTGAGGGGATTTTGCATTTGTAAGTAAGATCCTAATTAACTGACCTTAAAACACTGAGACTATCCAGAGGCTTCTGACTGACTAGATGAATATTTAAGGGGGACAGAGCTCATCCTGGGGAGGGATTTGAAGCATGAAAGGGGTTCAATTCAAGAGAGATTCTCCACCATTGGTTTTGAAGATGGAGGGGACCAATTGGCAGGGAATGAGGGTGGCCTCTGGGAGTGGAGTGCAACCCAGCTGGCAGCCAACAGAATTATGAGACATCAGCCCTACAACCAAGAGAGAACTGAATCCTACTGCAACCATGTGAGCTTGGAAGAGGCAGAGGGCTCCAAATGAGAATGCACCCCCACCTTGATTTTAGGGTGATGCTGAGCAGAGAACCCTGTGTTGCTGAGCTCAGACTTCTGACCTACAGAACCCTGCACTACTGAGTGGTGTTTTAAACAGCTTAATTGTGCTAATTCATTACAGAGTAACAGAAAACTAACACAGGCTTCTCCATACTCGGCCTCACATGGACTCAGTGCTGAGCCACACAGATTGTTGAAGTGGTCAGACATTCTTGGAAACTTCCAGGGAAGGATTTCCTCCCCTCTGCTGTTGATGTTGTACATGATAAAAGACTAGCCCATCTTTAGTCTCCTTATAAAAGAGAGAAAATGAGAGCATCAGAGCACCAGGGCAGAGGTGTGGTGGAGTCAAGGGGCATCTGGACGGTAATGAGTATTAACCCACTGGATGACCTGGGCAGATCCCTCATGCTCTCTGAGTCTAAATTTCCTTATCTACAAAATGTGATGGTTGTCCCCAAGGTTCTTTTCAAGAGACCCTTTCATGGTACTTCATGGATCAAAGCCCAGACCAACTTCCCCTCTAACCTCCTGCACCTAAAAATATAATCTGTCTCCATTCTGAGTGGCTTGAGCAATTGCCTATCATATTCTGGGTGAAGAAAGATTACCCAGGTTGTGTTAATAGAGTCCTTCACCTCAGCTGACCATGGGACAAAGCTGTAGAATGTTAGGCTGGAAGAGACTTTGAACGCCCAACCTTCTTACCACCACACTGATGAAACTGATGCCCGGAAGGGGACCGAAACTGGGCTGGCTCATCTGCAGCACACAGTCCAGGGCTCTCCCTGCGATATCCCAAGGGGGGGGGGGATTAAGACCCTAAGATTAATGTGCCTTTACCTACGTTGACCAGTTTGCTCTCAAAATACCATCGCATACTCAAAGAAAAGTAGAATAATTTTACTAAGGGGTTAAAATCTAAGGGAACCGAGTTGCTTAATGATGTTGCACTTTATTCTTATCATATGAGGAAAATTTGCTTGGTGAGTCAAACAGACTTTGCTCCCTCCTTCAGCAATTCATGACCTGGCATCGTCCCTGTCTATGCTGTCTCATCTTGTCTGCCAACAGCCTCTTCCCATGTATCTACCCCAGTGTGAACTCTGCTACCTCACTTTATTGCACTATTAGATTGATCCTCGGAGCATGAGTTCCTTTGACACTTGCTGAAAGGTATCGAGTATAGTTTCTACATATTCAGTCTTTCTTTATGCATATTCTTTCTCTGAAGGTTTCATACTTGCTACATGTGAAATATCAAAGCTGGGAACAGGGAAGGACTTATGTATGTAACATGGATTAAAGTAAGAAGGTGGAGAATGGAGGGAAGGTGGAATGTGATTCCTTATAAACATGCCAAGAGAATTCCTTTGCTCCATCTAGAAAGTACATCTGTCTACATAACCTATCATTACATCTATATATGATACAACAACTAGCTTGCTTGATGAACTTGCTGTAACAAAGCCGGCACAAACTGCAACTAAGAATTCTGCAGAGTTTTACCACTAGACTGTTTACTGAAGCTCAATTTACAATCACCAAAGTGTGGAAACAGCCTAAATGCCCACCAACCCAGGAAGGGATTAACAAGCTGTGGTATATGTATACCATGGAATACTACTCAGCCACTAAAAATGATGGAGACTTTGTATCTTTTGTATTAACCTGGATGGATGTGGAACACATTATTCTTAGTAAAGCATCATAAGAATGGAGTAACAAGAATCCTATGTACTCAATTCTGGTATGAGGACAATTAAGGTCCTAGTACACGGTGGGGGGGTGGGGGATGGGGAGACCTGAGAAAGGGAAGGAGGGAGGGGGTAGGTGGACAAGGGGTGTGGTGTACCTTTTGGGGGCGGGACACAATTATAAGAGGGTCCTTATCTAACAAAAGCAATTAGTATAACCCGGTTCTGTGTACCCTCAATGAATCCCCAATAATAAAAAAAATCAAAAAGAAAAGAATTCTGTAGGGGTGCCCATAGCTCAGTGGTTAGGGTGCCAGTCACATGCTCTGGGGCTGGTGGGTTTGAACCCTGCCCAGGCTTGCTAAACAAAACAAAAACAAAAACAAAAACAAAAAAAGCTGAGCATTGTGGCAGGTGCCTGTAGTCCCAGCTACTAGGGAAGCTGAGGCAAAGAGAATCACTTGAGCCCAAGAGTTTGAGGTTTCTGTGAGCTATGATGCCATAGCACTCTACCAAGGGTGACAAAGTGAGACTCTGTCTCAATAAGAATTTTAAAAAACTAAAAACAAACAAACAAAAACAGAATTCTGCAAAGGAAATTATAAGTCAGCCTGGTACGTTAACATGAAATCCATATTAACTGTGCTCCTTCAAATGAAAAAAAGCACCTTAAAGAGATCCAGGCTTCAACTGAAACTATTTCTAACCCAAAACATATTAGAAAATAGTAGGGTGGTGCCTATGGCTCAAAGGAGTAGGGAACTGGCCCCATTTGCCAGAGGTGGCGGGTTCAAACCCAGCCCCAGCCAAAAAAAAAAAAAAAAAAAAAAAAGTAAATAAAAGCACTGGAGGTTGGACCAGTAAGTTCTTGAACTCATTCTAGAGAAAGTGCTGCCTACACCATTGCTGAACATTACCATGGTGCCCTTTGAAGTACTTGGGAAGCAAGACATTGACATTGGTACCTAGTCCCCTCTCCAAAGAGAGAGTATGAAGATCTTCATACAAGGACAGTTCTAATGGCCATTCTAGGAAAAAATTTCCAAAATTGCTTCAAAGGGCTGACTAGCCACTGGCATCAGGGCATAGCTTCCCAAGGGGAGGACTTCAAATGTTTCCGTAGTCACATTCAGCAATGAGGTCTATAGCACTTACTCTAAGAGAAGTGTGCAAACTTAACTGTCCAAGCTCGTATGTCTGAAATTATTCTGTAGAAAAGAGTGCCCAAGTTGAAAGTCCACTTATGATACAGATAAGATTTGACTTTCCACTCTTCACAAATGCTAAGAATTGGGTGGGAAAATTTCAATTCTTCTATCATAATTTGAGTCAACCATTTCTTTTAAAAAGATTTCATTTGCAAAGTGATAAAACAGATTTTCAGATATAAGTTTAACTAAGACGTTTGTTTCACACTTTGCCGTTTCATAAACCACCCCGTGGCAGGTGCTGACAAATGTCCCTTGCACGTGAATGTGAGACAGAGTTATCATGAGCAGTGTATGACATGCGTGTGAGTCAGAAGCATGAGTTACCTGCAAACTGACGGAGGTGCCAGGGAAACACTCACCATTGTTTCTGTCCACCATGACCGTGTGGCAGACGGCGAGCAGGAAGAAGAACTGCCGCACGTCTTGCTCCTTCCCCGACTGGATCTGCTCAATAAGGTAATGGTCATAAAATGCGAACTTCCCATCAGCAAATATGTTCCAGCTAAAATCCACTTCCTGAAAGAAAGGGAAGAAGAAAACAAAATGTGATTTAAACAATTTTTTTTGTTTAACAAATGAAATGACCATTTCTTCAAAGCCAAGTTTTTTCATTATACAAACGTCTCCTTAGGATTCTAAGGTGACCAGACGTCCCACTTTTGGCAGGACAGTCCCAATTTTTAACAATTTGTCCTGCATCCCGCAGCGTTTTAAAAAAGTCCTAATTTTTGGAAAGAATGCACGACAAGCTAGGGAACGGTGGGAGAATGGGAAGGGAATATACAGTTTTAGGCTACCATGTGGCTATTTCGCCAGGATATGCATTTTATATTATTTTTGTTAATTTTATAATGTTAAACTTTAATAATAACAGATAATTGTTGAGAACTGATTATGGAGAACTGCTTATCAAAGTTGGCATTGTTGATCAGTTGTTAGAATTTGACCACCATTGTTTGGACTTAATGAACAATGGCATTTTTTGGCATTGGCAACCATGAAAACATTTTGTAACTGTCTCTCAGACGATACACTTCGTACTGTGTGCTAGTGCTAGTTAAACAAGTGATGTCAACAAATCAGCTATTCATATAATTTAGGGAAGTCATTTATTTATTTCATGAATTTAGCAGACAGTACTCATATTATTTATATTTTATAGTGGCGGCAGAAAGTCTAGCGCTGGCCTTGAAAGTGACACATCTTACGAGGTATATTATTCAAAAGATATATTGATAAGGAAAAGGTTAAATCTTGGGCATCAGCAAAAATCACAATAGAGAACAAATGGTTAGAAATATTTCATCATTTTGAAACAAACCATGTTCCATACAATAATGCACTAA